TTTTACCACAATACAATGCGAACATCACACAGTCCATGCATAAAGTACAAGGAAAGCCATATTTCTGCAATATTTGTCCCTGTGTTAACGACATTGTGTATGGCAGGTTTGAAGATTTCAGAAATTTTCTGTTCGCTCTCTGTGAGCGAAAATATCTTACCAGGCGACACTTGGCGAGCGAGTGACTGGGCGCGACCGACCGAATATTCTCGGTACAGCACTGGAACTAACTTGCAATGGAAGCTCATGGGGGGATTATTGCAAGCTAGTTCCAGTCCAAAACCGGGAATACGAATATTGTCCATGTGGCGCAAACTTTAAAGCTTAAAGGCACAAAATGTATCATATTTTTCAAGTTACAATCAGCTGTGGTCTCTGGCATTATAAATCCCTCACTATTATTATTTATAGTCCATCAAATGTTTTTTGCCCACAGTAGCCTTCACTTGGCGCGGAAATATGTTCTGATATTTGTCCGCGGACATTATCTGTTCCTCAAAGCTCACAGTTACACTCTCGGAAAACTGTTCGCTTCTCGGAACAGGTAATACCCGCAGACAAATATCCGAGCATATTTTCGCGCTAAATGGAGACTATTGCTTATTTATTTATAATCCATCAAATATTTTTCGTCCGCAAGTGATTGGTCTGAATATATATATCTTATTAGATGTTTTAATGTGTACTATCGCTGTATATTTTTACGAGTTGTGCCGTATTTTGACGAGCCCGTAGGGCGAGTTAAAATACAAACAACGAGTTAAAAAATATAAAGCGATACTACACACCAAAACATCTAATAAGACATTTATTATCCAACTGCTGTAGTCAATAAACTTATCGATGAAAGAGGGAAAGTGCGACAGTTTTGCGTGCGCGCGCCGAACTGTACGGCAAACAGGTTTTCTACTGTACAAATAACTGTACAATATCGCTGTATATTTGTACTGTTATTTGTACGGTATTCGCTGCAGTTGGATAATAATGGTCTGAATACTGAATATGCCCCAGGATGTGAGTGATATTCCCCAATCTTCAAAACAAGTGTGTTGCCAAAAATATTGGAAGGATGATAAACACAATAGCGTTCATTTGGCGCGAAAATAGGCTCTGATATTTGTCCTTGGACATTATCTGTTAATCAAAGCTCAAAGTTAATCAAAGCTTTTCCTCGAGCTACGCTCTCGGAAAACTCTTCGCTTCTCGGAACAGATAATGTCCGTGGACAAATACCCGAGCGTATGGCAGCTATTGTTTATATATTCTCGCGCCAAATGGAGGCCATATTAGGCTATACAATGTGGTCTACAGTGAGAAAACGGGCCCAACTGTAATGCTTTTCCTGTTAACATACTTGCAGCGTCAGAACCCTGTACTTTTCACCGCCTACTGTATGGTTCAGACGCACGGGTTGTATGCATGGTAGACAAAAATAACCACGGGGATAGTGTGTGTTTCAGTAACCTAGGCAATGTGATTTTACACCAAAATTATATTCACGCTCAAGTTCAGGGATTTTCAGCGATAGGGTCATCTGTTTACGTTCTGACGGTAATTTGTGCATCAAAGGCACCTTGATATAATTAATTTTTCAGGGATTTGGCGGATCAACGTGGTGGCTGAGCGATGAGCGAGGGATGTAAGAATGCTAAATATTTCAGGTTCAGTTATAGCAACAGATTTCTAAAATAGCTTCGACCGCTAACGAAAGACAAACTGAGTGCGTCAAGCAGCGTCATCACGGCCATAAATACTCTTGCACTTATCGATTTTCAAGTATTCTAATTTCCTCAATGCTTAACGTAGTGTTTCCGAACTTTGTAGTCATTTTACTTACACTCTTTATTTTTTATAAGAATATGTTTTGTGACAATATCGACGCTGAAATTTGCGAAAGTTTAAGAATATTTTAAGAATAAACACGATTGCGAGGCTGAGATAATGTGTTAAAAATTTATAAATACAATACAATTTTACTTTTTTAACTAAACCGTATAAAATTCTTCTAATTTCTAAACAGCAAACAAGCCAAAAAGCAACAGAAACAGCAAGGGCCGTTTGTTCGATGCCAATAACCATTTCTGCAAAACGTTATGTGCGTGATATCAGGCTATAATGCCTGCAGACTGGCTCCAAAATTACTTCAATACCATCCAGACACTAAATACATTCGAAAGCAAATATGTCATATGCTATAATCTAAGAATATTTACAAGAATATTTTCAGCCTAAAATCGGCAGAAGCATGAGAATACTCAGCCTCAGCCGGACAAAAAAAACAATATTCTTAAAAAAAATAAACAGTGTATTTCGAATCGCTGCTGTCACATCTCGAAATAGTCTTTTATAATGGTGATTGATTGTTCACCAAATGACACAGCTTATTACCCACGCAACTATTACTGAAAGGGCGTTCAGTTCGCCATCAATAATGTCACAGACGCATTAAAAATCAGTCGTCAATAAAAATTTGTTAATTTAAAAATAAATTAGATTATGTGCCGAAGCGTAAAAGGAAAAGTGCGAAGCAGTTAAACTATTTTAAGACGCCTTCTATTAAAACTTTTCAAGGGCGCGCATTGAGGCATGCAGTCATCGAGAGCAATACTTATTTCAGATTCACAATATATTAATTCAATTCAGACAAAATTACAAGAAGGCTAAGCTGTCTTGCAGCAGTGTCCGGTAGCCTGGTGCTTATGTCCAATGGGGACATGTTGGCATAAGCATAAGCGAAATACTCTCAGCCAACAGCGAGCACTTGATGCTTATTCCGACCATATCCTCACTGAACATTACAGCGACATAAGTATAATCGTAAGAAAAAAAGCAAGGTAGAAGAAGTAGAACGCTTATGCTTATGTCCGGCAGCCGTGTCCACTAGCCCAAAAACTTATTATGTTTATGCTTATGCTTGCGTAAAACAGTGGCTACACACGTGAAATCTTTGTACATTTCGTAGCCGTCCTCTGCCAAACAACAACGTGAAATGACTAAGTTCTGCGTATTTTGGAGAACGCGAACGACGGCGACTAATTTTCCGTATTTCATTTGATGTTGATCGCTGGCGTTACATATTTAGCTTGAGCAAGTTCCGAGACCAATAGGCGCACTGAACAGAACTACTAAGATAATTGCGAAATTCAAAGGCAGAATATAAAATACTTTTTACTTGGCGTTGTCTTCGGGGTCGGCGTCGTCATTGTCTAAACTCTCTCTAACGTGAAATGACTAAGTTCCGCGTATTTCGGTGAACGTAAGCCACGACGGTAAATGTTTTGTATTTCTTTTTGGAATTGATCGCTGGCATTACATATTCAGTTTGAGCAGGTTTTTAGACCGATTGGCGTACTAAACAGATTCAGATAGTCACGAAAGTAGAGGGTAAAATATAAATCCATTTTTTACGAGCCGTCGTGGTGTCCCTATTAGGGATTAGGGAGTTTAAGAAACCAGGACGCGACGCCGAGGACAACGTCGATTAAAAATTGATTTTATATTTTACCTACGAATCTCGCGATACTCGAAAGTCATTTTCCTTTGTTTCTCAGTGTCAAAACCATCACGAAACTGAATCTCCGACAGGGCGAAACATTTGAAATAAAAATAAAAAAATTGGCCCTCCTGGTTCACGTCGTGGTTTTCTTAAGCTCCCTGTTGTTTTGCAGAGGAGGGCAAAGAAATGTATCAAGAATTATAACACACGTGCACAGCCATTGTACAGCTCATTAAATCTAGTATCGGCTTGAAAAGGCGACACAACGTTTTGAAACTATCTCAATACAAGCACGTGGTTAAAGATGCACGTGCGGCGGCACGCGACAGCTTGGGAAACGCCTCAGAATCGCAAGTCTTGGAGTAAAACTTGTCTCGTTTCTTGTGCACATGTATTCATGCTAAATGATTTGGGACCACCTGGGACCGCCAAAGCGGTCTTGTTCATAAACAGGAATCCACGAGCAACTGCGCATTCAATCGATCGGTGTTCAGCGTGCTTATGATTGGTCAACAATTCTTTTGAACTGTTGCGATCAACCTCAGGCTAATTGGAGGTAATTTTGTAAAGAAACACAAAACCACTGATTTCTATAGGTTCCTTGACGTAAAAGAATTACGCGGGATGTTGAAAAGGCAAACAAAAAGCAACATGGCTTTGTATCACCAAACCTCAAGCTAATTGCCGGTAATTTGGTGCTGGTAAGAAACCGCTAAATTCTATGGGTTCACTGACCTAATAAACCTTGCGGCATGTATGAAGAGCCCTCAGAAGAACCTTTTAAACACGCGCCTTTTGCTTGCGATTTACCACAGCTCTTTCATAGTTCTATAAAGGTACATCTCGCGTATAACTCAGCATAATGCATTCAATTTAATGATGTTTCTAGTTTTCTACGAGCAAACACGTCATACGGCTGACATAAGGTTCATTCGCTAACTGAACTATGTACGACTATTAGGCAACAAAAGATTTGTTCGCGTGTAATGAGCGGATTGAATATTGGACCAGTGTATTGGAATGCCTAGCCGTTAATCGCAAAGGCTAGCGACCGCGGCGTATTTTCAATCCATTGTTTGTGTAATTTTTTTTCTGTAAATTAATTAACAATATTTTGCCTTTTAACGTAAGCGAAAGGGCACCGAATAATAGATTATTACTAGAATGATTTTAATAGTTCAAATTTTGTCATTATCTCTTTTCTTCTTACTATAGGACACCGTCGACACTGCGCCGGAGGAATTTGAAAATGAAGGTTTCACTCTGAAAACGCATCAAACGTTTTCCGTCCACACTACGCAGGAGAAATTTGAAAACACGACAATCACCGGTCATTTTGGATTTGTGTTTGCGGAAAACTCGGTCAAGGAAATCACATGATTATCGTGACGCCTTCGTTTTCGAAACACTCCGTTTTCAAAATGTTTTCCGTCCACACGAAAACGAAAAGCCGGCGTTTTCAAATTCCTTAGGTTTGAAGAGAGTTTTCGAAAAGCTCCGTTTACGTGATGGATCAGTGTGGACGGTAGGCCTACTAGGAAAAAAGCCGCATTTTCAAATTTTTCCGGCGTAGTGCGTGATGCGCAAGCAGCGTAAAGGCAACAGAAAAGAGAGCAACTGAAAATCTCTTCGTAGTCTGGTCTTGGCGGAAAATAACAAATGAAAAGGTTGCATTACATCAGTAACATATTCATAAGAAAAGTGCTTCTATACACTTGTTTCCAAGAATGCAGAGTACAGACTTACAACTTCCTTCCTGACGCCTTCAAAAGTCAGGAAGGAACGTAAATGTGTCTACGTTACGTAAGCTATTGTAGTTTCCCGGTAACACAGCTTCGCCGAGCTAAACAATGCCCTGAACTGCCAAAATTTGAAAATTACATTTGTGCAAAACGATTCCGCTTTCGTTTGAGAATATTTTTCTATTTGACTTAGTTACTCATTCAACGCTGGATGCGTGAGGTAGTGGTAGTTAATTCATGACTCGCGGCATGTTTACGCAAAATTTTACGATTTAAAAGTCATTGATGCGTTCACCATTATAAATGAACGCAAATTTGCCTTCAGAGGTAAAATGTGTCAAAACAACCGTGAACATTCCTGATAACTGACGTTTTTGTCTTGAGTCAGTCGCGAACGGCAAGCCGACAAGTGCAGTGGACCGGATTCCTAATTACTCTACACTGGCGCCATGCTGTGACGAAATTTTGCAGCGGAAAGACACACAAATACTCAATTACGTTTGCCAAGTGGTAAATATTTCCTTTTTCCCGCAAATTTTGCCAACGATGCTGAACGAAACAGTGAAAATCCGCGTCAAGGGGTCACTGTGCGACTGCATTGACGTTCGCGTGATTTCTTTCAAATGTATCGCGTGATGGAAGTTACATTTGTTTACACTTTTGAAATCACGCAAAACTTGACGGTAGAGTAGCGTCCACCTTTAGCAACCGTCGCCGCAGCGTGAACGAGCGTGAACTTATCGTTGATATTTTTTTACTTTCCCTTTTAACGTCAACTTGCTTAGCGCTTTCGAGTAGAAGCGTCGGATCACAAGGATAAAAAGGGTTACCTCGGATACCAGTTGTTCTTTTTTTAAAAATGATGCGCGGAATTGAAAATGTTTGATTGTTGGAATAGCCGTTGCGTGCTACACATGCCTTTGAGAACAAACGGAGGTCATTGAAAAATACTTAACAAGAAAAGCGCTGGTCTGCAATTCATCATTTCGTCTAGGGCATGCCGAGAGCCACTGCTGGGAACAGTTGTGTTTAGTTTGTTTGTAAAGACCTTACAGTTAAATACTAGAGGTAAGCCAAACCAAATATAGCTATGGAAGCACAGAACTGCCAACATGGCTTTTTTTCCACGTTTTATCAGTCTGCGCGTGCAAATATGTTCCGCTTTCCACGCACCAGCTGCAGCATAACTTGAAGCATTTGAAAAATCACGCAAAGGTCATAGAGAAAATTCCTTACATTCCCCTGCTGCTGGAAACGACAAACAAAAACTCCCTTTGCAATATCAGTCGAACCTTAGACACGGTGCAGCTAACACCTCTGCGAATCTGAAGCGGCAACTCCGAAGAATCTACCGCGACAATGCTCCACAACGTACCCACACTGTTGGTTTACTACGCGAGCTCAGCCGTTTTACTCGTGGCGTTTTTAACTCTACGTCTTCTGCAGTTTTTTCCTCGTTCACAGTGGCTCATCTTTGAGATGATGAACAAGATCGCGACCATCCAAATGCCCCGAGAGAACTACAGACATTCACTGTTCACTTGGCCCATGTTCACATCCATGCGTTCATCCATCTTACGCGAGCTGCAGAAGTCCGCTTCTCGCGGAAAGCCCGCCCCAGACTCCCAACTGGTCTCAGTGGATGGCAAGTCACGCTGCCGGCTCTTGGACTTTAGCAGACGAAACCGGCCACTGGTTGTCAACTTCTGTAGCTGGACGTGTCCCGTTTTCCGAACCAGGGTGGACGAGTTTCTCAGCATCGCGCGAGAATTCAGTGACGTTGCTGATTTTTTAGCGGTGTACATCGAGGAAGCTCATCCCTCCGACGGCTGGGCGTTTAAGGTGAGCGCACCCGATCAAACACTTGATATAACTGTCATAGATTCGGAAGCCCCTTTGCCAAATTCACGATACATTGCTTGGCGTTTCCGTCGAGTTCACCACGGCGTTGTAATGTATGATGCGAACCAAATGTCATATCAAAGCATCACTGAAACGAGAGCATATTTATGCTCTGCATAAAAATAGCTGAATCCCTTAGCTAGGTAACTGGAAACTGTTGCGCACTGTGCCAACATGCTGTGGAGGGATCTTTCATCCCTATGATGAATCTTACCACAAGGTCTTTAAACATGAAAAGTAAATTAAACGCGAACGTTAGAGTGATAAGTAGACATTGCTATTTTCTAGCAAGGATGACATGCAAAATGGAATTTGACAGTCAAAACTGCATTCTTCCGATCATCTTTCGTACAAATTCCATCAGGTTCTATATTTCAGTTTAAGACAAATGTCTCTGAAGAATTTGACAAAATGGCTCCGACGACCTTAAGGGGAATTATTCTCATGCCTAAAATCACTGAATGTTGTCTACGTATTTTTTTGGACAGAATAACGTCACCACATCAAGACACCAAACCCTCGAGCAAAGGTGCAATGCCGCAAGGTTGATGCTGGACTCGGTAGAATTTCATAACTGTGCTGTGATGGTGGATAACATGGACGATGAAGCTAACAAGGCATATGCCGGAAGGCCAATAAGACTTTACATTATAAAGAATCAGGAGATAGAGTACGCGGGAGGAACTGGGCCCACATTTTACAATCCCAGCGACGTGAAACAATGGCTGCAGAGTGTCAGAACATCTGTGAAAAACACTAGGCACAGAGCATAGAGTAATGGACAGAAAACAAAAAAATAACTTAAATAAAAACAATTGTTCTTGAGGACACCAGCGTTCCGACATGCAGAAGGGTCCTCAAAGCCTTTTACCACCGAGAATTTGTCGTACCACAAATAAAAAGCGGGTACACCCTGATACACATATACAAGTCCGTTCGCACTGTCGCACTGGCTTCGAGGCCTGAGCACCTTTTGTGTAATTAAGTAGCTTCTTGTAAGATCCTTGTAAAAAGACAACGTACATTACACTTCCTCCACGACGATAAAAGAAAAAGTCAAGGGGAACAATTTGTGCGTATTTATTATTGACTCTGATGTAAATACATTACTGTACAAATATAAAACTAATTGTATATATAGCAAACTGAACACTTTAAATTTTTATAAATATACAACGTCTCAATATACACCCGGAGAGTGATTACCACGCACTTGCGGCGCTAATGACTGTTACAAGATCACGTACCAACTGAAAGTGTGTTTCAAGTAATTTGTCGACAATAATGAATAAATAAAGATATAATCTTCAAGAATGCGTGGGGCGTGAATATTTCACTATGGAAGCGCGATAAGCTAAGTTATGTTGAAAGTTCATGCTCTCAGGATTGCCCTAAAGCTGGTAGAGAATGGTCTTTTAATTTTGGTATTCTAGTTCAGGAGATTTGTTTTGGGCAATACTGCTCGAGAGCTAGCACCGTCGAAATCTTGACAGTTCCTTAAGGGTGTCAAGAGGTGCTTGGTACAAGTGGGTAGTTTAAAAAGGCTAGTAAAGTAATTGAGCTATTGACGTGAATTCGTCCAATTAACAGGGTCTCTTGCGTCAGAATAGTTAGCAAACAGAAGGAATGCTTGTCGGATAACGGATAGCTGTCGTATATCGCTCTCACTCACTCAAGACTAAAGTGCATCTAATGGAAAACTAAGATCTGAACTTTGAGCGCGGCTTTGATGAGCTCCTGGAGAAATTTTACTACAGTAAACAGATAACAGAATTTAAGTTACTGGCGCGAATTAAGTATGCATATCAAGTCTGACTGAAAAAAAAAAAAAAAAAGACAATACTCTGTCTTAATGCAAACACAGACTCTAAAAATCAAAGACCTCAAATATTCCCTTTGGATAACCTAAGATTTCTGATAAGGTTGCGTCGCACCCACAGATGAATGCATTATATAGTTTCAAAAAAAAAAGATGTTATATAATAAACCATCCAAATTCCTTGCATTTTCTGAAAGTGTGGAAAAATACTTTTACTCGCGGAATGCAGTATGCTTGAGAATGTCTCTTGCTTTTAACTACCATAGATGGCCGTATCTGAAAGGCGATAATATACGAGAGCATATTGTTGTGTCTATTGGGAAATACAGAGGGGTATCACCCCGGCCATATCAATATCTTGTTGTTTGCTTGTCTATATCAGTAAATGTTTTAGTCTAGGGCAATATATGATCCCTCTTTTTTGTTAATATTCGTATTTGAAAATGTTTGCAGTCAAACTATATTGAGTGAGTGGAAAATATCAAGGGTTTGTATTTTTGCTGTGTCACTATCGCGTCAACTGAGGGAGCTTTTAGCAATGACAAACAACGGTGTTATGCAGCTCATGTCACGCGAACCAAGCGTCTCAACAGCTCCTCAGGCAAATTTCGTTTCTGATAATTACTGGAGCTGAGATTCATTGTTCGAAGGTATGCCTATGTCTGCGAAGTTCACACGCTCTCCGAATTGCTAGAACTGTAGAGATAACAATTTATCATAAGTAACAATTCAAGTTATCTTGCGCGCTTGCAGAAAATTCAAAACGTGTGTCAGTAAAAACTTGTAGATAAGGGGGCCGCGCGTTTAGCGCAAGTTCGGAACAATGCATGCTCTAAAGTCGATAGGGCGTAACAAGACCTTCAACCCTTACACGGGTTTAGAGAATCGCTCCAAATTTGGCACCACTTTAAACGCAATAACGATACATCTTATTACGACACTTCAAAACTGCAGCTAACTTGGGTTAGCATTGTCATCAAGTTATAAGTGTTTTGTACAAAGAGCTGTTTTTCGTGCAAGCACCAAGCAACGACTACATGTTTGTACAGGTGGTTCCACGCATAAAATGGTTTCATGGTCGCATTTCACTTATTAAAACCATGTGCATATACTACTTATATCTTTGGTAGAAATTCCGGTAAAAACTGGGAACGAACATGTCCCCTAGCTTCTCTTAGTTGGTGTCTCTCTTACGTCAGTTTTTATTATAACTCTTAGTGTTTTTCAAAGTGAGTTTATGTATTGTTTTGTACCTTTCGACTCCCAAGACCCATTTAGGTGCAAAGAGAGGCTTTCATCGTCATCATCATCATCCGAAAAAGTTAATTATAGACCACAGCGAAAAGGATGTGAAAACTAACGGCTATTTTTAACAGGCGACACACTGAGCTGCGTGAAATAGTGTAAATAAGCTTAAAAATAAACGTCCAAAGAAAACACTGTAAAACATGCAATTTGCGGACTGTCTTAACATCTCTCCTGTGAAGGTATCTTAAAAATCTGTTTTCTACATTACAATTGCGTGATCTCAAAGTGGACCGTAAGCTGTTCACGAGGCTTTCGAAAGTCAAGTCACATAACTGATGCATTGCCAGGCGGATTAGCACGTTGTTAGTTCTAAACGTTTTCCCTCTTCAACGCTGACAACTGCAACTCGAACACAACGCAACGACAGCTTAACAAGAAAGCAGTGCTTGAATTAAAGAGGCTTAGGACACAAGATCACCATTTGGACATTTCGTGATTCGCAAAGTTTCCAGAACAAACGGGGGTCATTTTCCGCAACGAAACGCACAGAATATACTGCGCACTCGATAAATCATTCCACCTCGCGCACGCAGAGAAATTGTCGACCTCAATTGTTCGCTGGTGTTTCTCAGTCACTTTGTTGTGACTACAGATGCGCTGTTTGAATAGAGGCGCGTTAAAATCACTCAGGCAAAATTGTGCACGTGCGTGAGTTTAGGTTCCAACGATGCCATGTTGGCACATCGCACCTGCCGCCCGACAAAATAACACCGTCATGATCACGCGAGAGTTCATGTGAAAAGGTCACATTTGTCGAAAGTGTTTTCAAGAGAAACAAAATTTTTAACATTCCTTGGGTGCTGTATAAATACGAGCACACCGCGACTCTCAAAGCCTGGGAAACTGTTGGAGAGGCTGAGCACACGAGGTTGAGTCGCAAGCTCAGAAAGCCACGGTACGGAACAATGTTGCGAAAATTGACCGCCACTGTGTTACCGTACTGCGCGGTAACCGTTTTGCTGCTGGTCGCGTTCTTTTTTCTCAGTTTTCTCCGTCTCTTGCCCTGTACGAAATGGATCGTGGTTAAACTGATGCAAATGGTTGCATCGATCACACTGCCCACCGAAGTCTACTGGCATTCACTGTTCACATGGCCAATGTTAAAGTCGCTGCGCAACGCGATTCTGCGCGAACTGCAAAAATCAGCGCGGATCGACCATCCTGCTCCCAATCCCTCCCTGGTCTCCACGGATGGATTGTCGCACCGTCGTCTTTTCAACTTTTGCAAAGGAAATCGTCCGCTGGTTGTCAACTTCTGCAGCTGGACATGCCCAGTTTTTCGGGCCAGGGTGGGCGAGTTCCTCAGCATTGTACAAGAGTTCAGTGATGTGGCTGATTTCCTTACTGTTTACATCGACGAAGCTCACCCGTCTAACGGATGGGCCTTTAAGGTGAGTTCAAAACTCCCTACTTAGTTTTTAGCGCCGAGAAAAACTGAAGTGAAGCGTACTTTTTATTTAGACACCGTTTTTACACCCATTTTTTAAAACATGAAACTCGTCGCCCTACGCTCCTATGGAGCGTAGGGCGACGAGTCTTTGCAATACACGGTGACTAAGGTAATAAAAACTTAAGTGACAAGGTACATCTTTTCAGTGATCTATAAAGAGCATAAAGCTTACAGAAACAGCGTTACTAATAGACTCGATCTTGTTTTCAGAACAACGTTGTAATCCCTAACCACGCAACCTTAGAAGAGAGATGCCAGGCTGCAAAACTTATGCTGGACTCGGTGAAGTTTAACTGCCCCGTTGTTGTGGATACAATGGAGAACGAAGCTAATAGGGCCTACGCCGGGCTTCCTATAAGACAGTATATAATTAAGAATCAAAACGTGGTTTACGCCGGACTACCTGGACCAACGTATTACAACCCTAAAGAAGTTGAAACGTGGTTAAAGGAGTTCAAAGCTGAATTTATGAGAACTGGACGCCACAGGGCTTAAAATGTAAAAACGCAGTTGACTAGAAGAACGACGTTAACGTCCGTTTGACTTGTTCGGTCACGTCGCATTCGACAAACCAGACAAGAGGAAATACAATTAGGATAGATGACCAGCACCGGAAGTTTTTATAAACGAAAAGTTGACATTAAATTAAATGGAAACATTGCCTTGAAACTTTCCAAGGAAATACTATCGGAAGACTGACAAAGAACAATTTTAATTTCTCGTTAGATGCGATGTAACGAAAAAAACAAAGCGATCTTTTGACGTGCTTTGTTCCCGCGAAAGCCTATAATTGTTTGCTTAGCTTATTTACAAGCAGGCCAGAAGGGCTGTGGTCATGGATCTGTAGGAATAGCTTCTTACTCGGTCGCGACAACTTTAATTCTAGGCTAAGCATGATAATTGATGAAAGAATGCCTTTGTGTAGGAAGTCAGTCTTTAAGTAATGTATTTAGAATTGTTCATTATTCAATTACACGAATGTAAATAAATTACGTGTTAGCCTACTCCACGCGTCCTCTGGTTTAAACTGAACACGTTGTGTCTACCCTCTCGGAGCTATGGTCGTGATTACAAAAACGAACCGAAGCATTCCTTTGCGATATGTCTCAAACGCTACCGTGCTGTTTTATGCTGAAAGGAATTTTTATTACAGTGTGTAGCAACTTTGATTGGCGTGTCAGTTCCAGCTGATTAAAACTGATTGCGTGCGTTTGAACGAAAGGCCGTGTTGATTTTTCCTGCCCCCCAAGGGTTAAGTCAAGCTGTAGTCAGGCTCAAATACCTCAAATCTTATTGACTTGTTTTCCCGATCTTTAAATCCAAAAGGTTGACCAACGTATCTCCACAATCCGTCGAAGTTTGAAGAATCGTGGAGCACGGTTTTTGAAAGATTGGGCAATTGCCTCGGGACGCGTGCCACGCCATTGCGCCAAACAAGCCGTACAGCTCTCTTAATTAACAATATTGCGCCGGGGACCAAGAGCCGGAAGGCAATGGTAACTGTTTAAATGTTTACAATTCCTTTGTTGATCGTTTGTGTGTATCAAACAGTCACATTAGCACTTTTAGCAGTAATTCGACTCAATCACGGTCGTTGAACAGTTTCAAAACGAACGAAAACTGCAGATAAATCGCGTATTCACCCCTGCGGATACATTTCACTCCGTTAAATAATCATCCGGAAAACATGTTTTAGTTGTGGAGCTGAGCTATTGCTGTTGACCAGACCTTGCAGATTTACATTGAACGCGCCAATGTCAATCACACACTACCGGTTCATGTAGCGGAGCACGATTCTGCTCTTTCTTTGATGAGAAATCGTTCTTCATTAACCATTGAGAAGAATAACGGAAAAGCTGCTCGTGTTTCTCGTCTTGTTAATTTGCGCGAGAACTTGATAAAATCGATATCGTGACTCGCGGTGAATGAGGTTTATGTTTCTTTTGACACAAATTACGTGTTAATAATCATTGAAAATGAGTGATAAACAATACAATGATGACGGCAATAGGCGCTAAACAAAACAACTTGAAGTGGCACAAGGGGAAATCGATTGGAGATGGTTTCCTTTGGGGCAAAAATTCAAAAAACAGAACGCATCTTTGGTTGGCGATCTATTGTCAATGAAAATAAACCTGATGGCAAGTGTCGCGATTTGGAAGACTGCAGTGATGCAATTGCAAACGAACTGTTAGCTGAACGGTGCCCGACTGGCGGACACTTGTCATACACACGCAAACAAGCGTAGACCAATATTTGCCAAGCCCTTGTAAAATGTACGTTCGAAAAAACATTTCCCTCGCATATGTGACTGAGGTCACTGTGCAAACGAGATTACAAATTAATCTTCGCTCGCTGAAACAAGCACGCAGTTAATCTAATTTCCTATTTCGCTTAGAGCTCTGTAGGATGGGTTATTTTATATGAGCCCGTGTTAGCGAATGTACATGTGGTGTAGCCTACGTCATTGGCCTTTCGTGCCGCAGGAGAGCCGGGTCACGCGAACTTCGTCTTGACTGTAAAATTGTTTAATTGCCTGTCGCACGAAATCTGTCTTACATCCATATGAAGCAGAAATGCGTGAATTTCTTACTCAAATTTTCGTTTGGTCTTCCGTAATTCAACACTAGCTCTGTACGAAATTTATCGCGACGAAACTTCTGGAACTGGCTTCACGCGAAATTAAAACGCCACAAAATTAATCACGCGATGTTTGATCAAGCTAAATAGCAAATTCAAAGAGCAGAAAAAATTCTGCCCTCAATTATTAAAGAGAAAAATATCGCAGATAACATATTTTCAAATTATTTGTAAATAAGCTAAGCAGATAACATATTTCAGATTCAGGCTTCTCACAGTCATAACAGTTTGGCTGATCTAACTTGGTTTCAATAAAGCTCTGATAAGGTAAATCAAAATTATATCAGTAATAAAATCCATGTTTGCTTATCCGACGAAATGTTATTTGTTTTCACTTTTCTGTTGGGGGAGCGCTGTGTACATAATTAAATAACTCATGTTGCAATTTTTTTGTCCCACTAAATTAAATTTCGACACTTAATAAATTAAAATTATGGAGTTATTTTAAGAGTCCGACTGTTTCAGATAGTTGATTCGTGTCTTTGCGAACTAAAATAGAGAATGGAGCTAAGGGAAAAGTGTCTTTGTCCAACGACACTGCCTTAGATAAATTTTTTCCAAGTATTTCATGGATGCAATAATCAGCGTGTTTTAATGTGACAACATTTGGGCTGGTTATTGACCAGTGTGTTGTGAACTGAGCGGGCATATCAAAGCCATGAAATGACCTCCTACTGAAAGAAAAGTGTTGAAAGCATTCTTTTTCCATATTCGACCTTGGAGTATTCTGGTTTTTTTTTCTCTCTCCCTTAGGTCAAGCTGTTGAATCTGTCAACGCCGCCTTTCGTCCTAAACGACTATTTTTACCCATAATTGTAACGGTGCTGTGCGTATAAGACAAAAAAAAAAATCTATGACAGCAACACTTTGAAACATCTGGAAGTCTTCACCACAAAAAAAGGACGAAAGTCTTATAGTGAGTGAGTAACTAACGCTGTTTGGTCCTGTGTTAACAGTAACAATAAAAATGTTCAGCTAATCATGGTTTCCTCTTATTCCACTGTTTACAAAACTGTCTTTAAAGCGCCAAAGAGTTTAGAATAGGGGGCGAAATATTGTTGCTATTTTTACCGACAAATCCGCCGGGAAAAAATAATCAGTCTTTTCATCAGCAACAAAAGAACTCATTGTTAAAACAATCTAAAAATAATTTGGAGTTTGCAAAACGTTCTGAAGGTTATCGCTGGGGTAATTTTTTTGTTCCATTGTTTTCCGAATGAACGACAAGAAGGCATATTTTTATGTTTTTATTCCTTAAGGCAAGTTTAAACGATGATCAACACAACTGTGTTTTTATTTCCCTGTTACAACCGCATTAAGCGAAAGTGAATTTTAGCTTGCAAAGAATTTCTCGCAAAAAAAAAGATCATCTGATTGACAATGTTTGGGGCAAGGAAACGTTGGACGTGACCACAAAATCATTGACATTGCTCGGATCAAGGAAACAACTTGAAATCTATGTGTCAATGTTAACTAAATAAACGTTTAAATATTGTTCTCTCTTATCTGACAGTTCTAAATGGCTTTAAATACCTCTTATCGAAAAACTGCTGCTTTGGCCAGCTGGAGCAAAAGATGGCCGTGAGCTTGACTTCTTTCTTACGAGTAAGAAGAACCCGCTGCTCATTTCAAGTATTCAACAGGGAACAGATGAAATCTAACCTCAAGTATCCTAATTCCGGGGCTTTAGAAGAGTCATCCTACCAAATTCTAGACAAAATGAAAATATTAAGTCTTGTGCTTTGTAAAAATACCGGAAGGTTTAATGGTAGTGCTCACCAAGATCAATTCAACGAAAATATTATGCGTTTTACACGTAATCCAAAGACCCAAGTAAAAAATAGATATTCGTGGGAAAATGGAACACGTTATGACGTAACCTTTCAACGTCACGCGATCGCGGCTGATTATCACGCGAGGTAAACTCGCGAGGAGAAAATAAATCACTGCAGTTGTTTCGAAAGTTGAACAAGGAAGTTTTCGAGCAAGGGTCTTACTGGAGGTTATAATTAGCAAAAAAAAAAAAATTAAAAAACTATTTTCTTTTCGCCACAATCTCTCTGAAGCGTGACTAAGTTAATTTCATTCATTTGTGAACGTACTGTCCGAACATTTCATCACCGGAAGTTGTTCATTTTACCAGATTTCGTATGCCATTTACTTTTAGATTGGCGAAATGTGTCCCATTATGAAGCATTTTAAACAAAATCACAACAGTATCAAACTTTCCACCTACAAGGGGGACAGGAAATAGGTTGGAGAGCCTCATTTATAAAACGGCTATCAAGTACAACGTCAGAGGGGTGAATTACACCATTAACTAAAGAAAACTAATGGTAGCAATCACTGGACAATTCTGATGAGTACACGAGAAAGCTATCGCGGTTACATAACGAGTTGTTTGAAGTGAACGCATCAGCACGCTTGCCATAAGTCGTAAATCACAATACAAGGAGTTACTTCCGAAAGGCGAACGCGGACACGCGTGCAAACAAAGGCTGTTTACCAGCTCTAGATAGTCACGCGATGATTTCTTAAACAGTTAATACCGAACTGCGTTTCAGCAAGCCAAGATTATCGCAGGTAATGCGAGAGCGTTCCCGGGCAAGCATAAATCGCCGGTGTTTCGCTTTTTCGCAGTGGCCTCGTGCGAAAAATCGATCGCGTGATTGCGAGTTTGCCGAAGTGTGTACGCTTTGTTGGTTTGCAGACCCTCCAAGGTCATTCAACGAGAAAACAACTAGTAATTTAACAAAGCGCTTTGTTTGAATCACTTTACAGCATTAGGCTATCGGTATTTCCTTGCCGTTTGACTGGTTCTTCGTATTTTTCCTTCAGCTAGGACGCTGTGGATTATCATGCTCCCGACGCGTTCAACTGTCAGGAAAGTCATGTTCTTTCTTTCCGGTTTCGGGATAAACAGGCCAGTTGGCAAAGACACGCGCGTTTGCCATCCCGTGACATTCACCAACTTGTTGTGGTTTTTGGTGACAAGGAAATTGTAATCAGATTTCATGTTTGTATTTTCTAAGGTGAAGTAAAAACGATAACCGAACAGGGGTTAGTCAGGGGATTAACATACCCAGCACGATTCAATTTTTCGAACTCTATTTATTTGTCTCACCTTGTTTTGTTTTACAACACAAATGGGATGACTGTGCAGCCCGAGATTAAAATAGTTGGATCGTATTTTCGTCCTTAATTAGCCACAGGCAAATGCCACGTAATTGGTGACATTGGCTTTTAAGGCGAAAAAACGGATCATACATGCTTCCAACCAACTGAAACAAACTGAACTGGTTAATTTATACCCCAAAACGTCTCTTACTGAGAGCAATAAGTGTATATATAGATATGTATGTATGGTAAATTAAACGGTGTCTGTTTCCCAGTCAGGAATTTCCAAGAGACCACGAAAGAAATTCATGTCAAATTTATCGTTTTTTCCTTCGCCAAACTGGCAACATTCGCATTTTCAGGTCTGTTGAATATGATACGATGCACGCGCGCGGCGTATACAAGTTCGCCTAGCGTTCGTTGTTGTCCATAGTGTTTTTGCGCAAAGTCCAAAACCCGTCGATTTTGTAGTGCTGAATCAGGGCGCTGAATGGTATTCGCACAATGACGAGTAGAGAACGTAACACAGCAGCTACTTTTGTAGTTCTTCGTTCAGCCTGCCTATCAAATGGCGCTGTTTTGTTTAAGTCAGTATACAGCAGCGATTAAACGTTGCCTTCACTTTCTTTCCATCTCGCCAGCCACCTTCTGACCTCTTGTGTTTTGTAAAATGTCGGTCCCATCCCGCCGGTGAACTCCACTCTCCCATCCAAAATGATGTAAAGGCGTATTGGCAGAGCGCCATAAGCAAAGTTCGCTGCGTTCTCCGTGGAATCCACCATCAAGGGTGCCTTCAGCTTGGACGCATTCATCAACAGCTGGGCCGCCTCAATCCGTTCCTCTAAACTGCGGTGCTGTTTCACGTCAAAAGCCGTCTGAATTGTGCAAATAAAAGTAGATATGGCACATCAGTGTAAAGCTCGCCCTTCCTTCCTTCGTCATTAGCTATTCAAACACGTCTCCTTTCAGTACGAGATACTGTACGGTATAATTTCACGGTTCCTCAAATTTGCGTAAACATCCCTACCATAGCTCCCAGTAAAAACTTAGGCTGTACGAGTGAACTACGTTTAAACCAGAATTACAGGCCGCTTAATTCTTTATGCAATACTCCGAGCCAAAAGCAACATTTGGGAAATAAGCCAGGATCAAACAAAGTATTAGTAAGCAACTCAGACATTACACATGGACTGTTATGATTACCTTGAAGGCCCATCCGTCCGTTGGGTGCGCTTCTGAGATGTAAATCACTAGGAAGTCAGCTACGTCGCCAAAGTCCGCCATGATCTCGCCAAACTCGCGCAATCTCTTCATGAACACAGGACACGTGCAACTGCCAAAATTGACCACAAGCGGCCTGCTCTCCTTGGCAAAGTCTAAGAGATGTAATCGAGATTGACCATCGGCAGACACGAGGGAGGGATTGGGGGCTTCTTTACCGGGCTTGGCTTTTTTCTGAAGATCTATCATCAATGTCTCCGTCACAGCCTTGTACATCTCCCATCCAAACAGACCATTGCCGTACACCTCTTGGCTGATCTGGCATCCGGCAAACTTGATGAAGAGTTTCACGACCAGCTTGCGAAACACAAGCGTACAGAATAAAAACCGCAGGATGGCGAACGCCAACAGCAAGGCCAGCGATGCCGTGTAAAAAGGAAGCACCACAGAAACAGACATGGCGGAGCTAGTAGCTAGCGACTCGTCAATAACGTCCGCAGTCAATGCTATTACTCGTTAATCAACGGAACACGCGCACTTATGGAGAGCACTGGAATGTGACTGCGAGAAATCTGATTCAGCGCTGTAGACAAGTTTCAAATACCGTCGACCTCCGTGTTAAACCTTGCGTGATGTTTTGGAGTATGAGGTGATAGGACTCTAGAGATAAGGGCAGCAGGCCGGCCTGCTTGCACACGCTTCTCACACGCTACTTGGTGATGTCTTTCGCGCTTGGTTGTGTCAGGTAAATCGCTGTTTCACCGAACGTGGCGCACACGTAACAATGGCAAAGCTCGCCTCGAGACAAATTGATGGAATGATTAAAGAGGCTTTAGGCGGCTTTCCACGCGAGCTTAGACTAGTCGACGATTTAAAGGGCGAAACTGGCGAATAATCTTCATATACACGCAATCCTCAGCCAACTCTCGAGTGAAGTTTTCCTTCTTGGAATCGCTTAAATCAACTTTAACACAAAATCCTCCAGTTGAAGGGCCAGAATTGGTCCTGACTAAAGCTGTTTTGCACCCAACACAAGCTCTCCTTATGCTGCCACTTAACCTCGTGACGTCATCTAGAACAATCCAAAAGCCACAGTAGACTAAGAAAGAACTAGAGAGCTGTCAAAGCGAATGTCTGTTGACTGCCGCCGCACATTATCTTGTTTTACTGAGCGCCCATTTAAAACACTGAAGCCCTTTCTGGGTTAACCGCAAAAATGGCGTCTCCACCACGCGCTCAGACACCGAGGGATGAGAGAATAATTTTGCCGGTTCCGCCAGGCTTCAGTTAGTTCCTCACGGATAAAATAAGGCATGATTCGTTTTGCCAAATGCCCTGGCAACTAACGTATTTATAATGACGCGCGTGCTCACCGCTAATGGTTGCTAATCGTTTCCGGACAAGAGCGATAATGTTTTCCTCGGTAGTAATTTAGCACAGATGTCATCGAGAGGAACATAGCGAGGGTCTTGTCAGCACTCTCTAGTTAGCACCACTCCGATTCTAACATCATTACTGGATAAACGTCGTTAAATACTGCTAATTGTACAAACAAGGTTACTTCAATGTAACTGAAACAGCGCCTGGCAAAAGAACGAGTCTGATATCGCCATTGTTCACTTTGCAGGCCAAACAATTATCGTATTTAGACCTAAGGTTAATTGATACAGTTACAGTGAATAATAGTCTAGTGTAATTGTCAGCTAATTGTGGGACAATTTTACATTTAGTGCGTCGTTCTGCGGCTTCGCTTGATTAATTCGGGAAAGATATCTAATTCGTCGAATACAGTAAATGAGATGCAGTTGAAAACCAAAATGTGTCAGATCAAGTGCAAACTTGCAGAAGATACCGAGCGACTTTTTGAAAATGCGCTAGCACTCATTAACTGTACTTTTTACGTTCTGTTTATTCGCCTTTTTCTTCTCTGCACTACAGAAAATTATTCGCAACAACAGTGTGCACTTATCTCCATCGTTGCGTACGTGTTCATGTACAAGTTGTAACATTGCCAGCCATCCTAACCTCGATAAACAGAAATAATCAACCCAAGTCTTTTCACAAGGACATCTCTTTCTTCACACACTGCTTGAAACCTTGCCAGCCACTTTTCTCGGAGGAAGGAACCTGTTTACATAGCAGATTGTTAATTAAACACTTTGGATAACGTGTCATAGCCTTTCTGATGTCATTAGTCTCTCTTTGTACACTTCAACTCATATTACACCACTCAACGTGAATTGCCACACCTGACAGGAAATGGCTATGACACTCCACATCCTTTCCACAAATGAGACGTGAAATTGATTAATGAACAACACGTGAAATAGATACATTAAAAGATTAACGAATTAAGAGTCTTAACCCACTGACCCAGGCTTGAAAACGAGAGCATTACAGCAACAATGGCCCTAAAAACTCGGAGTGCATCTCACTTGTCATTAGATGTGATCTACCCTCACACTAGTGTTTGTATACACGTTTTTCAGGTGATCACAATGATTAGGACTCGACAGTAACACTTATCATTTAATTAGTAACGCACTTGAACAACCCACACAGCAGGGATCTAATTGTTACTGAAACTAAAAGGAAATAAGCTATGACTGCACACTTAAGACATCACTGCAATGACAATAATTAGTTAAATAGTTAATTAGTTACTGTGTTACGAAGATTACTGTCCGAACAAGCGCCAACACTCCAACCAAATCTCGAACACACGATTTCCTACAGCAACGGGCTAAGAAACAGATTTGTGCTCACGTACAAAGAATTGATCTCACACTAATATGATGGAACAAGCCTTTAAAGCACAAAAGCAAAGCTAGATTCTGAAATAAACTAACGAAAAATGATAATTAAGCTTGCCAAGGCATCTGACACTTTTGACAATGTGAAAAAGATGCGAAATAGATACGAAATAGATACAGTAAAAGATTTACTCTCTTAGCAAGTACCTCATACTTGACCTCCACAGAAAACACATCAGAATTCCAATTACGAGGAAGCGAGCCAAGGCTCTCCACGTTCTTGACAATTTTAAAAAGTCACGAAATAGATACAGTAAAAGATTAATTCTCTTAGCAAGAACCTCACACTTGACCTCCAAAGAAAACACATTAAAATACCAATTACGAGGAAGCGAGCCAAGACTCTTCACGTTCTTGACAATTTCAAAAGTCACGAAATACATACAGTAAAAAATTTACTGTCTCAGTAACTACTTCACACTTGACCTCCACAGAAAACATATTAAAATACCAATTACGAGGAAGCGAGCCAAGACTCTTCACGTTTTTGACAATTTCAAAAAGTCACGAAACAGATACAGTAAAAGATTTATTCTCTCCACTAGAGTCTTTCACTTGAACTCGACCTCTTTGAAACAATAAAAAACTCTCGCAAGGTACGTTATATAACTCACACCAATATAAGCGCTTGTACGAGTCCGAGCTCGTGGTCGTCATCTTGTACTGAAACTAGCCGTGTAAATTAAAGGAATCTCATGTTTGCTGTTACATTTCCGGAAACACATTGCGTGCTGAATTTCTCAGACGAGGAAGTGACATCTCAAAACGAGGAAGTCTACTTCACAAGCGGATGTTTAGAACACGTTTAGGTATTGCTATGCAACCAACACTCTTCCCCCGGAGACGGCTTTTCTCGTCATTAGTTCCTTTTTAACATCTTCCTTGAGCAAAACAGCGTTAATTCTAAGCACCTGCACTTTGCAAAGACACTGGGCATGGTTGTTGAAAGGAGGAAGAGCGCTATCCTAAGAGAAATACATATCCAGGTGATAGCATGGTTGATTCTGTGATCACCGTAACATCCACTCGATAGCGATTAATCCGCTTCAGAGTGTTATTCAACGACTCTCAAACTCATTGCCAATTCATCAAGTTTAAACAAAGGAATTCATAACCACAGCAGAGTCTGGATATCTGATATTAATTAGCATAGATTGTGACTATTTTTGGTCACTCTACCTCGTCCTTAGTCTTGATTGAGGAGATGCATCGAACAAACGAGACAGTGTTTTACCATGTTTCCAAACATCACGAAGTTCGTCAAAGATCCTCCGCTACATGTCTTAGTTTCAACTCTCTCCTAGAAATGTTTAGAAATGTGGTAAAACACGGTCTTTCTTGTTTGATTTATTTATATATGCGATTGACTTTACCTCTATCTTAACGAACGTTAGTCGTTAGGATCGCTCAACGTTTTCGCAGCGGTCATATGGAAACCTATTTCGACGACAGGCACATGTACGAGGAACTTCGCATGGACGAGGAAACAGATCGATAATTTACAATGACGTGGGAGAATTTAGGATCGTTAACATAACTACGTGTCAAAACTTAACTCCAACCTCCTCTTTCACATGTTAATTTAGCACGTCGAAAATGCTCTGCGCCACTTCCTCAATGCTTGGGGCGCTGCAGTGTTTCATCAGCACTAAAGCTTACCAAATTTTATTGTCTCGGGGGACAGCTTTTTTCTTTTCTAGTAGGTGGTTTCGCAACGGAACGACCGTGTTAAGCTTCCCTGTTTACGCACCATTGTCGATGCGGCTTACGTTACTTCACGAGCGAACAAGGAACTGAAAGACTGGCCTGGTGAGCTTGTTATTGTGCTAGAGTAAAGGTCTTTTGCTATGGCCGTTGCTTTGTTTGCTGTGATCAAACCGTTCTATAAGCCAAGCTACTGAAAGACCGTCAGACAAGTCAAAATATCAACTTCTCTGAAATCCTAGATATTCTCAGCATTGGTAAAACATTTTCTATTTGCGCCAGTCTAACTTCCGACCAAATCAGATTTCACGTCCATTCAGATCATACCAAACTGCTTTCCTTCCACAGGTAGAGAGCGGCGGGGGGAGGGAACAAGAGTATGTTTCACCGTTGTTCCTTTCAGCCACAAATGATGAATTTTGCTATCATCAAAACCCTTTACATTGTTTGTCAGCTTACCCTGAATCCACGGTTGATGCGGTCCTTCATCAGTTCTATAAACTCGCCATAACTTAATTTACCATCACCTAGAGGACAGAGGACAGTGAAAAGACGAGATCAAATATTCAGCCGTAGAGCCGTTTATTTAACTCCAGGAATGCAAAGGAACCCTTGATTACTTAAGCAAATTACCATTAAAAGGTTTAGCACGTTGTCTAAATACTGACAAGTTCAGCATTTATATCATTAATTGGAAGAAATGGAAAAAGAATAAGAAAAAAAATATCCATTTTGGTTTTACATTTCCAGCGCGGCCATTTTGGATCTTATGACGTCACATGCTTGCTCCCATGATCGCAAACAAAAGCTATTTTGCTTTGCAGTCAGAAATATTTGACGTCATAAGATTTAAGCTCAGTATGGTCAAGCTAAAACAGTATCAAACTGGAGTTAAGACCAGGCACTTAAGAACGTTCGTGCGAAAAATTTCCAGGCGATAGATTTTTTTTCAATTTTTACCGCAGTCAGATAATGAGTTACTTGTGTCAGAAATGCAAAAAAATTGGGGTTCACCGACTTCGTTTCAGAGATAAAGCGTGTGGAAAACTACCCTGATTTTGAAAAATTGGCGCACGTAATTCAGCATGGCCTACAGTGGTTTATAGTTAAAAGTATCGAAGGTGAGTCAACGGAGGCAAACGATCTCACTCATATTTTTAGAAGTGGTCTGTTGCGTAAATAATTCCAATTTTTACCCACGTTTTCACAAAACTTAACCCTTCAAGAGGCATTTGAAACCGTCGCACAGATAAAAGAAGAGTTAAAAAGAACGGAATTCGATGATGCTTTTTGCAAAAAATTCAAACTTCTAGTGGAGAGATTTTCATCATTTTTTCGCTAAACGTAGAAGATCGGTAGAGAAAATGAATGATCTATCAAAAGAAAAATAGGGGTCACCGAACGTCCAAGGTCGTTAAATCCAGGCAAAGCTATAGCAATGGCCCTCTACCCTATCATTGCTCATTTTATTACTTAGCGCGCGCTCTCATGCATGACGTGGCGAGTGAATTTGCGTGCGCAGTAAGGCTGCGCAAAAACAATTACCGCGAACGTCCTTAAACCACTAGGTGCCGAAATGGCTATTTACTATGAACATCTTCTATGACTATTTACATTATTAGTCAAATTATTCTCACATTTTGATTGGCCCTTACTTATGATCTACTGGAGGGCAGATGTATACATGACGCCATAAACATTTTTTGGGGTTTCTTTATTATACAACAGATAGATTCCATGTTGCCGAACATCAGTGGCACACTCTGCTATCGCCTCATGCGCCACTTTTTTGTTCTTACCACATTTTGACGTCATCTGTGATCTATTACTGAACAGACGCACGGCAACATGGAATATATTGGTTAAATATACATGTATCATGGAGGCGCGGATCGAACGGTCTGGGTTCGAGGACATTTGGGCTACACTGTACCTCTACACCCATGTATATAAATAGGTACTTGCGAATTTAATACTGGGAGGTGGGAGGGGGCTGGGATAACCAGGGTGAGTAAAAATACTCCTAGTCGTTTAATACTACAGCAACCTGGATAAGCTTTGGCCGTATGGACCACTTAACTTTACCATTATATACATGTAGCAGGGCTTACACTCAGGGTCACTCGTGAAACAGGAAATGAATAACGGGTTCCTCTTCATTGGCACCGGGAGGCACAGTGGTTAGTTTGCGAGATCGAGCAGTCTGAGTTCAAGCCCTGGCCAGGGTTATTGTGTTGTGTTGTTGGGGGAGACACGCTTCTCTCACATTGCCTCTTTCCATGTGTACGTGTACTGGGAAGAGGAATGGGTGTGATGGATTAAGTTACTTCATCCTACAGAAACCCATAAACCGTGTACTTGACTACTCTCCTTCTATCCCAGGGATTGGTACAAACGTTCTTAAGCCTGTAACATGTAGCGAGTTAAGTGCTGTGTATCTCACCGTCTTTGTCGAACAGCTCAAACACTGTGTGTACCACGTACGAATCGAGCATTTGCCCAGTAGATATATAAACAGCTCTCTGGAATTCTTCTGCGGAGCGAAAGAAGTCGAAATTAGTAATTTATGTTTGACATCAATTCTCTAACCTACGGTACTTTACACAAAATTCTAACTGAAAATCCCTCCCTATAATAGATTGTGTGACTCGCGTGACTCTCTTCAGAGCTCGCAGCGCATTGGTGATACTCAGTGAGTCACGCAAACATACTTAGTTTGAAGTGTAGCCTGAGAGCCAAAAGCGTGAAGCATTGCCATGGACCGCGTCGAGTAACAAAATACTGCATATATTCAAAATTCTTCTTGTCACGAACGAAAATCGTCGAAACTCCACGGGTGATCTTCGGAAAATTCGGAATGCCTCGGATGAGTTTCGGAATGGAAGCTGTTGAATTCCTCCATTTGTTTTAAATTTGGAATTTACGTCAAAATATGCGTTCGTGCATTATAGACCTGAGGTCGCGTTTCACTACTCTGCACCCTTGTTTATAATAACATGAAAGCTGCCCTCCTTTAATATGAGCCAGTCACAACAGAGAACCATGTATGTTGCTTGAGTCAGACAGGCCGACACGAGCCGAGTCCGGCCCGCACGCACATTTAGAGCGCGCAATCAGTATGCTCACAAGTTTTTTACAAAATTAATTTCATATCAAGCGATGGTTTCACCGCTTCACGTAGGTGCAAGCCATAATGAGGGCCCAACCCTAGTTGTTTATGAAACAATCGGAAACGAGCAGCTGAAGCAAATGGAAATCTGCCTTTGGAACTTTCGCGGTCAGTCGTGGTGATAGAGGTGATATGCACAATTTCGTTTGTGTGTTCCGTGTTTATGCATAAAGTTGCATTTTCTCTTTCGAAATGTGTTTTAGAAATGATGGAATATACCAGTTGACGGATTCACAAAGAAAATGTCGAATTGGTATTGACCATCGAATTTGTTCCTCGGCCCGAAGTATTCATACTCTAGGCAGACACACGAGTTTCCACTGACTGACTGGTTCAGAAACGACGAAATAGCGTGGACTCACGAGTGCACATGCGCCGAAACTTAAAACTATTCCTTTACAAAGCATTTGACTCTCTACAACCGCAGTTCAAATATGAATTATTTCATATATACTTCACATCATTTCACTCCTCACGGGAAGATATGAACTCAATCAATTGACCTCGC